TTAAATTACAAAAATAAAATAAATGCTTTAAAAATAGAAAAAGCAAAAAATACAAATGAAATAAAAAATAAAATTAACAAGATAAAATAAATAGTTTAAAAATAAAAAATTAAAACTAAAAATGAAATAAAAAATAAAATTAAAAAATAAAATAAATGTTTCAAAAAAAAATAATACTAAAAATTAAAAAGAAATACAAAAAAGCTTTAAAAATAGAAAGACCAAAAATAAAAATTAAATAATAAAAAAAAAAATAAATGCTTTAAAAATAAAAAAAATCAAAACTAAAAATTAAATAAAAAAGAAAATTAAAAAAATAAAATAAATGCTTTAAAAATAGAAAAAGCAAAAAATAAAAATGAAATAAAAAATAAAATTAAAAAAATTAAAAAATAGTTTAAAAATAAAAATATAAAACTAAAAATGAAATAAAAAATAAAATTAAAAAATAAAATAAATGTTTTAAAAAAAAATTAAAACTAAAAATTAAAAAGAAATACAAAAAAGCCTTAAAAATAGAAAGACCAAAAATAAAAATTAAATAAAAAATAAAAAATAATAAATTCTTTAAAAATAAAAAACTCAAAACTAAAAATTAAATAAAAAATAAAATTAAAAAAATGAAATAAATGCTTTAAAAATAGAAAAAGCAAAAAATAAAAATGAAATAAAATATAAAATTTAAAAAATTAAATAAATAGTTTAAAAAAAAAAAATTAAAACTAAAAATGAAATAAAAAATAAAGTTAAAAATAAAAAAAGCTTTAAAAAGAAAAATTAAAACAAAAAATTAAATAAAAAATAAAAAAAGCTTTAAAAATAGAAAAAGTAAAACTAAAAAATAAATAAAAAATAAAAAAAGCTTTAAAAATAGAAAGATCAAAATTGGAAACTTAAATAAAAAATAAAAAAAGCTTTAAAAATAGAAAAAGCAAAAAATAAAAAATGAAATAAAAAACAAAATTAAAAATAAAATAAATGCTTAAAAAAAAATTGAAACAAAAAATTAAATAAAAAATAAAATTAAAAAATAAAATAAAAAGCTTTAAAAATTGAAAAATCAAAAATAAGAATTAAATAAAAAGTAAAAAATAAAAAAATGCTTTAAAAATAAAAAAATCAAAAATTAAAAATTAAATAAAAACTAAAAAAAAATTAAATGCTTTAAAAATAGATAAAGCAAAAATAAATATGAAATAAAAAATAATATTAAAAAAATAAAATAAATAGTTTATAAATAAAAAATGAAAACTAAAAAATAAAAAATAAAATTAAAAAAAATAAATGCTTTAAAAAAATAAAACAAATATTAAATTAAAAAAAATTTAAAAATAAAACAAAAACCTTTAAAAATAGATAAATCAAAAATAAAAATTAAATAAAAAATAATCTAAAAAAAGCTTTAAAAATAAAAACCTCAAAACTAAAAATTAAGATAAAAATAAAAATAAAAAAATCTAAAAAATGCTTTAAAAATATAAAAATTAAAACTAAAATGTAAAAAAAATAAAATTAAAAAATAAAGTAAATGCTTTAAAATATAAAAATTAAAACTAAAAAAAGGTTAAAAAAAAGCTTTAAAAACAGGAAAGTTAAAAAAATATTAAATAAAAATTAAATTTAAAAAAAAATTAATTAAAAATAATTAAAAACCAAACTAAAATCCATAAAGTGCTGTAAAGTGCCGTAAAAGTTCCATAAAAGGTAGTGTCGTAAAGCGCGACTGTCGTAAAAGGTGCGGTTTTACGACAGTCGCGCTTTACGGCAGTTTTACGACAATATCGCTTTACGGCAGTTTTACGACAGTCGCGCTTTACGGCACCTTTTACGACAGTCGCGCTTTACGGCAGTTTTGCGACAGTCGCGCTTTACGGCACCTTTTACGACTGTCGCGCTTTACGGCAGTTTTACGACAGTCGCGCTTTACGGTACCTTTTACGACAGTCGCGCTTTACGGCAGCTTTGCGACAGTCGCGCTTTGCGGCAGCTTTGCGACAGTCGCGCTTTACGGCAGTTTTACGACAGTCGCGCTTTACGGCACTTTTTACGACAGTCACGCTTTACGGCAGTTTTACGACAGTCGCGCTTTACGGCACCTTTTACGGCAGTTTTACGACAGTTTTATGGAAATTTTACGGCACTTTACAGCACTTTAAAGTTTTTATTTTGTTTTTCATGTATTTTTAATTAATTTTTTTAAAAATTTTTCTATTTTTAAAGCTTTTTCTTTTTTTAAATTTTTTTATTATTTTTTATTTTTAATTTTCCTATTTTTAAAGCTTTTTATATGATTTTTAAAATTTTTTTAAATTTAATTTTTAAATTTAATTTTTCTTTTTTCAAAGCTTTTTATTTTTTTAATTTTGTTTTTTATTTAATTTTTATTTTTCTATTTTTAAGGCTTTTTATTTTTTTAATTTTATATTTTATTTATTTTTATTTTTAATTTTCCTATTTTTAAACCTTTTTGGTTTTTTAATTTTTTTTTATTTTTAAAGCATTTATTTTATTTTTTAAATATTTATATTTAATTTTTAATTTTTCTATTATTAAAGGTTTTAATTTTTTAAAATTTATTTTTAATTTTTTTTTAATTTTTCTCTTTTTAAACTGTTTTTTTAATTTTATTTTTTTATTTTTATTTTTAATTTTTCTATTTTTAAAGCTTTTTATTTTATTAATTTTTATTTAATTTTTATATTTAATTTTTTTTTTTAAAGCATTTATTATATTTTTTAATTTTGCTTTTTTTTGAATGCTTATTTTTAATTTTTTCTATTTTAAAAGCATTTATTTGATTTTTAAATTTTTTTATTTAATTTTTAATTTTTCTATTTTTAAAGCTTTTTTAAATTTTTTTAAATTCGTTTTTATTTTTAACTTTTCTATTTTAAAAGCTTTTTATTTTATTAATTTTTTTTTAATTTTTATATTTAATTTTTTTATTTTTAAAGCATTTATTATATTTTTTAATTTTGTTTTTTATTGAATGTTTATTTTTAATATTTCTATTTTAAAAGCATTTATTTGATTTTTAAATTTTTTTTATTAATTTTTAACTTTTCTATTTTTAAAGCTTTTTAAATTTTTTTTTTGTTTTTATTTTTAATTTTTCTATTTTTAAAGCTTTTTTTTTTAAGTTTTCTATTTTTAAAGCATTTATTTTCTTAATTTTGTTTTTTATTTATTTTTCTATTTTTAATTTTTGTATTTTTAAAGCATTTATTTTTTAATTTTGTTTTTTATTTTATTATATATTTATTTTTTCTATTTTTAAAGCAGTTATTTTTTAATTTTGTTTTTTATTTAATTTTTACTTTTTAAATTTTCTATTTTTAAAGTTTTTTATTTTTAAATTTTATTTTTTATTTATTTTTATTCTTAATTTTTTTATTTTTAAAGGACTTATTTTTTTAATTTTATTTCTTTTTTATTTTTATTTTTAGTTTTTCTATTTTCAAAGCTTTTTTATTGTTTAATTTTATTTTTTATTTAATTTTTATTTTTAATTTTGTATTTTGAAACCTTTTTTTTATTTTTTACTTTTATTTTTTATTTCTATTTTTAATTTTTCTATTTTAATTTTATTAATATTTTATTTAATTTTTATATTTAATTTTTCTATTTTTAAAGCATTTATTTTTTTTAATTTTGTTTTGTATTAAATTTTTATTTTTAATTTTTCTATTTTTAAAGCATTTATTTTATTTATTTAATTTTATTTTTATTTAGTTGTTATTTTTAATTTTTCTATTTTAAAAGCATTTTTTAAAATTTATTTTTAATTTAATTTTTATTTTTAATTTTTCTCTTTTTAAAGCATTTTATTTTTTTAATTTTTTTTTTATTTTTTATTTCTAATTTTTCTATTTTTAAAGCATTTATTTTTTTTAATTTTGTTTTTTATTTAATTTTTATATTTTTCTATTTTTAAAGCTTTTTATTTTATTTTATTTGGTGCTTCCCAGACCAATTTAAGGTGGTGATTGTGGTGGTGTTTGAGGGTCTTGCATTACGGCACTACATTTTATGGAACTTGTACGGCACTTTACAGCACTTTACAGTTTGTTTGGTTTTTTTTATTTGTTTTTAATTAATTTTGTTATTTTATTTATTTTTATTTTTAATTTTTCTATTTTTAAAGCATTTTATTACATTTTATTTGGTGCTGCCCAAACCTGCTGTAGTGCATTTTTATACTTTGTAATACTTTGAAGTAATTTCGTTTTGTATCCCCATATTTTTCCCAAATGGTTTATCCCAAACTGTACCCCCCTCCCTTTACCTGTGTTATCCCTCTCGCGGGATGAGATCATCCCCAAACCCCCACCCTGGCTCTCTGTCAATCACTCAGATCCCATCCCCTCCATCCAGAAGTTTCGGTCCAAGTCATCGAGTGATCAGCCAGAGGCTGGGAGTCAGCCCCCCAAGCCTTGCCCCGTACGCTGTCCTGTATGTCCATCCCCCAGCATCCATCCCTTAGGGTCACTTAATGGTTGGTAGGATGTTATCTGCTTTTGGTTTCCACCTCCCTTTAAATGTAACCTTGGCACATCTCCCGGGGGGCTCTCAGCAGGAGGCCCCGAGGTGCAGGAGCTCCTTTGGGACTCCTAATAAAACCTTGGAAGAACCCCTGCTAAGAGTCAGCGCTTTATCTTCTACCGCTGTCTCTGGTGTCTCTGCTGCTGCAAAGGCGACCAGCCCAGGTGCCCTCAGCACCCTCGGGGCACAGAGAGTGTCTGCCCCCAGCCCAGGTGCCCTCAGTACCCTCGGGGCACACACAGAGAGTGTCTGCCCCCAGCCCAGGTGCCCTCAGTACCCTCAGGGCACAGAGAGTGTCTCCCCGCTCTCGGCCGTGTCAGGGCTGCCCCCCGGTGTCTGCCGACTCGGGACCAGCCGATGGTTACTGAGAGGCTCGCACAAACCCGCTCGGCCGCTGATTGTGGTGGTGTTTGAGGGTCCTCCAGGACAAGGGAGGAGACGAGAATCTTGACTCCCCCTTTCAGAAGGCTGAAATATTATTGTATGATCTCTATTATATTAAAAGAAAATGAGATATTAGAACTATACTAAAAGAGCAAGGAGACATCAGAAAGCTGGAAAGGAATGAATAATAAAAACCTGGGACTGCTCACAGCCCCGACACTGCTGGGCAATGATTGGTCATCAAGTAGAAACAATGCACAGGAGACCAACCCAAGATGCCTCTGTTGCTAAACCATCTCCAGCCCACACTCCACAGCCAGCAGATTGTTATTGGTTCCATTTCTGTTCTGAGGCTTCTCAGGAGAAAAATCCCAGCAAAAGGATTTTCATCAAACACGTCAGTGCCAGGTGATGGCAAAGGCAGCATCGGCCGGCCAAGGTCACTGTGTCATCCCTGCCAGCCCAGGTGTCACAGCAAGGAGGAGAGAGTTCACCCTGTGCTCACCCTGCAATACAGAGCAATACAACACAACACACATATTAACACAAGATGATAACCTTTTTCTATTTCCATTACATGTGGATTTGTTGTTACAGGACACCCAAAACAACAAAAGCACACAAAAAACAGCACTCATCTACCATTAACACCCCCTTCACATGACACACAAACTCACCATCCCTCTCACCACAACTGCTAAATTACACCCCAGCAATCCTTGCTCCTTGGGAACGTGGTTCCCAGGAGCCTCGAAAAAATCCTCCTGCCTGACGAAAACCCCAGTCCCTGGACGGTCCGCGCCCAAACTTTGGCAATGAACGTCGCCTCGCAGACTGACCGGGACTGGGGAAAAAAAACCCAGCCAGGGGGAAAAAAAAAAAAGGAAAAAAAAACAGCGGGGGGGGTGGGGGGGGTAAACCCGGCTGGGGATTTTTTACTCTAAATTTACAAATGAGTTGAAAAACCTGACAAGCAAAAGTCACACACACAAGGTTAAATCCAGTCAGCATGCGCTCACACACGCAGAGACGAGCAGACGCAGACAGACACAGTCACGTGCTCTCACACACGCTCACGCACTCCTCCCATTTAAACGTTCCCTGTGGCCCTTACTCGAGACGCTGAAGAACGCGCTTCCACGCTTCTTCTGGCTGCCGCTCCTCGACGTCAAACGGTAGATTCTGGGGAAATCGGCAGCCTCGGGGACCTGTGAGACGACAGGAATCGGTCAACGAGTGGCTGACAGCTAGGACTTGTCCCCGCTCTGACCGATAAATTTTCTACCCAAAACCCCATTAAAGACAGATGAACAGTAAAGTTTTTATAACTGTTCTATCTCACTGTGACTACGTGCCCGGGCAGGGCAGCTCCGACCATAAGCGGTACAACATGAGTACACACAATAAAAGCAGATGCATACAGTGCAAGTGTACATGGAGTGTAAGTCCATACAATATAAGCCAGCATAGGTACACACAATGTAAGTACATACAGTATAAGTACATACAGTGTAAGCCAACATAGGTAAACGCAATGTAAGTACATACAGTATAAACCAGCATAGGTACAAACAATGTAAGTACATACAGTATAAGCCAGGACTTGAGACAGCTCTCTGGAAGATACTAATTCTTGAACCCTATACCTCTTGGGAAGATGGAACCTATAGAACTGCTGCAGTCACATGAGGAGGGTGTAAGACGCTCCCTCAGGAAGTCCAAGAGAATGGCATGGAGAAAAAGGCACTACCAAAGCCGGTAGTGAGAAGGAAGATGGATGAGAACATCTTGTCCCTTTGAGACACTCCAGTCTCAAAGAGTAAAAATGTACAGGTGCCGGAATAAGGGATATCCGGAAAGGAACGCGAGTAGAATACGGGCAATGTGGCACGGAATAGTGCCGATAAAGCGTCGAGACGTGACAAAGGCCTGTGACACGTAAGACAATGGACACGGACTACATAACACAGACATGGACAACATAACACGGACAACATAACATAGACACAGATGACATAACACAGACACAGATGACATAACACAGAGACGAGTGACAACTGCCTGGCACTGTCCCCTTAGGGACCCGAGATTCCTAACGCAAGATGAGCCAGAGGCTGATGATGCCAAAGGAAAGGAAGCCCTATGACAAGAGCATGTGATGATGAAATGGAACTCGTCAAAAGAAGTTAGTGCCGAAGTAGTTAAGAGGTTGCTCGAGAGGCTCGGCGAGCCTAGAGAAGGAAGCCGACTGCCGGGTGACCGTGGCCGTGGCTCCGGACGTGAAGGCAAGCTCCTCGAGGGAAAGGTCCGTGATGATGCCGGGTCGAGGGAGGCGGACGACGCAAAGTTCCCGAGAACGTGGAGATGGGTCGGAACTGCCCTGCCCGGCAAAGGCTCAGGCGAGGCTGAGGGGAAACCCTCTCCCTTTACTTCCAGAGAGCCCACCCCGCTACAGACCTCTACGCTAAGCTGACATCAAATTGCCTCCTGTGAGAGTAAAGGCATTTCCCCTTCTCCCAGCCACAGGCCCCGACACTTAGCTTTTGGAAGAGGAGTGGGCGAAATTCATCCTCGGTCGGACGTGGACATGGAGATGCTCTCCATGTGTGCTTCGGTGCTGCCCTTTCCAAGTTTGGGCTACGAGCCTCCTCAGGGTACCTAAGACAAAACAGAAAAGGTGACTATTGCCCTCAACAACAGTAATCCCCGGGACTCCTCCACACCACTGCCCCGGCTCACCTCAAATCTTGATTTGGCTCCGGAGGGTGCCCGGAAGATACCTGCAAAGAGAAAAGGTACACGCTTAGCATGCTGCTGTGTAATGCTCACCTATGGGTCAGCCTGCCTAAACCCCGACTCACCTGCCCTCCTCCGTTCCTTGGCGTGCCTAGGGCAGCAACAGCACCTGCAATGAAACAAAGCAGAAAAGCATGCTGAGATACTGTGAAAACACAACCTCCCAAATCTGACAAGGATGCCACACCGATACCTTAAGCTCTAACCCACCTGGCATAGGCGTGCTCGGCCAGGATAAATGGCAAGTGGATCACCTAAAATAAAAAAAAAAAATAGGAGATGATTAGAGCTGCACCAAAACTGAGACATCAGCAACAACAATTGCTTCTGTACGCTACTCAATGCTCACCTTGCCCACTCGGCCTTGACTGCTGCTCTCGGCCTTGACCTCCTAAAAAGAGAGACAAAGAACAATGCTGTAACAGCCACCATTTATGCTTCCTCTGCAGAGAGAAACATGGACTCACCTGCTCGGGGGAAACCCCGCACCTGGGATGGGTGGCTCTGCCCTGGATTTTCTCCTTCTGCATCTGAAAGAAAGTTAGGACAAAAGTCAAAGAGCTGCAGGATAACTTAAGAGCTCCAGATATCCTGTGTCCAGCTACAAATCCCACCTAGAGTCCAACTACACCCCACATTACAAACTCCAAGTCCCCGGGACTGCTCCTATTGCACCAGGCTATGCGGCAGGGCAGAGCAGCTCCGGCACAAATGTGTGCACGCACCCGTGAAACAGGACAGGACATGACAGACAACGGGGACACAACACGGACAGAAATCTCCTGGCACGGAAAATGGCTGCGAGGACTGAGAGAATGCAAAAGGAGATGACCGAGGGGAGACCGATGGTGAGCTGATGAGGCTCAGAGAAACCTGGAGGAAGAAGATGCTAATTGAATGATTTATTCCAAGAACTGCAAAGATGGAGGCCCAAGAATCCTACGGCCAGAAGCCTCTACCTGCCCTCACGTTCTTTCCAGTCCTAGTCCGCCATAATGGATCCTGGCGGGGCACAGCTGTCCACACAGCTCAGAACAAGACCTGAAAAGACAGCTGACCGGATGCTGCTAAAGAGACAAGAGAGTCTGATGCCTGTCTGAGCTCCTGAGGTGAAAGTTCTATGGCCTGGGTGCCAGGCCGAGGAATGCAGAGATCACAGATGCTAACAATGATGCCAGGGTTTCTGACAGGCCCCTCCAAGGCCTAAGGTAAAAGACATGACATATCCAAACAACACATAACACACAAAAGACAAGTGACACAATACACACCGGGACTGCTCTGCCCTGTGCACCTCAGCACTGGGACCCAATGTCAGGCTTTGCTTTTATGGGGCCCAAGGGGCTGCTCCATGGACACCCCCCCACCTCCTAGGTGGACTCAAAAACCCCTCCCAGGAATTCCCAAACCAGCCCCCTGCTTTCATCCCCCCTGTGGGTCGTGGCCCTCTACTTATCTCTCGCACAGCTGGGGATGCCGGTCTCGGGTGCGAAGAAAGGCTGCCTCGTCAGGTGGGAAGGTCCTGCTGGCACCGGGCTGGTGTCTCTCACACAGCTGTATTAAAGAAAACCAAACATCACTGCCCGATCTTGGCAGCCCATCGGCCAAAACCCCACAAGTCTGCTACTCACCATGCTCCTAAGAACGCTCAGCTGCTGGGGCCCCACGCTTCGGGCACGCTCGGAGACCGAGGCCATCGTCACAGGGGGTGCCTGGGTTGAGAGGAGATGAGGTGATTTGGCACGGCTGAAACCTGAGGGGACCCTCGCTCCTCCTCCCTACTTCCCTGACTCACCACAACTCCTGGGCCGGTGCCCAAGGCCACCTGGATGGCACCTTTAAATAGAAAAGTTCAGGGCTTCCTCACCCGGTCCTGGAATGCATCCACAGGGCTCACACGTGCAGGGAACCCGGTGCATCGGCCGGCTGGTGACAGGGGCTTGGCAGGCTCCGAGTGGATTTCCTAAAGCGCAAAAAAGAGAAAGGAAACTTAGAGCTGCACCAGAAATTGAGACTGGAGCAGTAACAGCTACTTCTCTCCACTGCTCACCTTGACTGCTGGTACCCAGATTTACTTCCTAAAAAGAAAGACAAAGAACAGAGCTGTAACAGAGTCACCACAAACACTTCTGCTGCAGAGACAAACGGTGCCTCACCTGCTCGGGGGAAACCACTCACCCAGGATGGGGCCCTCTGGCACACATTTAATCCATCTGAATCTGAAAACAAAGTCAGGACAACAGTCAAACTGTTGCAGGATAACTTAAGAGCTCCAGATATCCTGTATCCAGCTACAAATCCCACCTAGAGTCCAACTACACCCCACATTACAAACTCCAAGTCCCCAGGACTTCTCCTATTGCACCAGGCTATGTGGCAGGGCAGAGCAGCTCCGGCACAAATGTGTGTGCAGACACCCGTGACACAGGACAGAACGTGACAGACAACGGGGACACAACACAGACAGAAATCTCTGGGCAAGGAAAATGGCTGCGAGGACTGAGAGAATGCAAAAGGAGATGACCGAGGGGAGACCGATGGTGAGCTGATGAGGCTCAGAGAAACCTGGAGGAAGAAAATGCTAACTGAATGATTTATTCCAAGAACTGCAAAGATGGATGCCCGAGAATCCTACGGCCAGAAGCCTCTACCTGCCCTCACATTCTTTCCAGTCCTAGTCCGCCATAATGGATCCTGGCGGGGCAGAGCTGCCCATACAGCTCAGAACAAGACCTGAAAAGACACCTGACCGGATGCTTCTAAAGAGACAAGAGAGTCTGATGCCTGTCTGAGATCCCGAGTCCAAAGTTCTATGGCCTGGGTGCCAGGCCGAGGAATGCAGAGATCAGAGATGCTAACAATGATGCCAGGGTTTCTGACAGGCCCCTCCAAGGCCTAAGGTAAAAGACATGACACATCCAAACACACATAATACACAAAAGACAAGTGACACGATACACACCGGGACTGCTCTGCCCTGCACACCTCAGCACTGTGACCCAAAGTCAGGCTTTGCTTTTATGGGGCCTAAGGGGCCGCTTCATGGACGCCCCTATCTCCAAAGGAGACTCAAAAACCCCTCCCAGTAATTCCCAAACCAGCACCCTGCTTTCATCCCCTCTGTGGGTCGTGCCCCTCTACTTATCTCTGGCACAGCTGGGGATGCCGGTCTCAGGTGTGAAGAAAGGCCACCTCGTCAGCCGGGAAGGTCCTGCTGGCACCGGGCTGGTGTCTCTTAGACAGCTGTATTAAAGAAAACCAAACATCAGTGCCCGATCTTGGCAGCCCCTCGGCCAAAACCCCACAAGTCTGCTACTCACCGTGCTCCTAAGAACGCTCAGCTGCTCGGGCCGCACACTTCGGGCACGCTCGGGGACCGAGGCCGTCGTCACGGGGGGTGCCTGGGTTAAGAGGAGATGAGGTGATTTGGCATGGCTGAAACCTGAGGGGACCCTCGCTCCTCCTCCCTACTTCCCCGACTCACCGCAGCTCCTCGGCGGTTCCTGACCCGGCACACAGGGCTGGCGAGAGCGGCAAACCCGGTCCATCGGCCGCTGGGGATGGGAGCCTGGCGTGCTCCGAGTGGATTCCCTAAGGCACAAAAACGAGAATGGAGACTTAGTCATGCCCCAGGAATTGAGACCTCAGCAACAAGAAATGCTACTGATCACCTTGCTCTCCTGAACTTGACTGCTGGGATCCAGATTTACTTCCTAAAAATAAAGACAAAAAACAGCGCTGAAACAGGGTCACCCTTGACACTCCCCTTGCACACACAAATGGTGACTGACCTGCTCAGGGGAACCCACACACCCAGGATGGGGGCTCGGCCATGGATGCAATGCATCTGCACCTGAAAGAGAGTTAGAACATATGTCAAAAACCTGCAGGATGACTCAAAAGCTGCAAACACCTCAGGTCAATCTAGGAATAGCATCTAGAGTCCAACTACACCCCACATTACAAATTTCAACTCCCCAGGGCTTGTCCTATTGCGCCGGGCTATGCGGCAGGGCAGAGCAGCTCCGGCACAAATGTGTGTGCAGACACCCGTGACACAGGACAGGACGTGACAGACAACGGGGACACAACACAGACAGAAATCACCTGGCAAGGAAAATGGCTGCAAGGACCGAGAAGATACCAAATGAGATGACCGAGGTGAGACTGATGGTGAGCTGATGAGGCTCAGAGAAACCTGGAGGAAGAAGATGCTAACTGAATGATTTATTCCAAGAACTGCAAAGATGGATGCCCGAGAATCCTACGGCCAGAAGCCTCTGCCTGCCCTCACGTTCTTTCCAGTCCTAGTCCGCCATAATGGATCCTGGCGGGGCAGAGCTGTCCATACAGCTCAGAACAAGACCTGAAAAGACAGCTGACCGGATGCTTCTAAAGAGACAAGAGAGTCTGATGCCTGTCTGAGCTCCTGAGGCCAAAGTTCCATGGCATTGGTGCCAGGCCGAGGAATGCAG